TATTACTATAAATATATATATATATATATAGGGCCTATATATACATACGTAATTATTTCTGAAAAATAATAAGAGTTTATGGATCCGTAAAATAATTAAAATCAAAAATAAATTAAGAATTTGGATGATTATATCTTGAAAACTTCAATTATGAATGGTTTAAATTATTTTTCTATTAAAAATACAAAATTAATTTTTCAGATCGAATTTTGAATAAATAATATATACGCTTGAATTAATATTCACTTATTTTTTACATTTCTTATTTAATGTAGATTAAATATTGATTTTATACGATCAATAACTACCAGTAACTTATTTACTGTGAGAATGATATATATTTCAATAGCTTATTTTAGTTGTATATTAATGTAATTATTATTCCTATGAATATTATAGATATATTAAATACACCAGATTATAAAAATTAGCAAATAATTATAATAATCTCGCTTCTAATAATAAAATAAAAGAATCAAATCAATTAATGCATTGTTTTCCTGGCTGTTATAACAGAAGGAAAGTATGGCGATTCGGCAAAAAAATGACTCCGATGAATTTAAAATTTTTGGACTTTAGGACATTGAAACGTCGAGAAACGCCAAAAATTCCGGGAGGATAATTTCTGTATGTATAGGTGTTAGTGTATGTATGCGTGTATGTGTGTATATGGCACGAATTTGTTCACCCTCTTTGAAGCATAATAACTCTCAAGCTTTTTGTCTAAAATTTTTGAAATTTTGCTTGGAGGTTTGTGTATTAGAATGATTTATGCTGTTAAATTTTGGTGGTTAAAAGACAACGGGGTGAGGAGATAAAGGGTCGTGTGTATCTCCAGTAGTGTCGAACTTAATGACGATTTTAGTCGTTATTAACATTTACAGTTTTTTTTTTTTTTTTATAAAATCCATCCCTAAAATAACCCTCAAAATAAAGCGTTTCGCCATTTTATAATATAAAAAGTTTTTAAAAATAAATGTAATAACAGATGACGCCACCAAAATTTTAAATGTTACCGGGAAATTTGAGCAACTCGTTGTGGTTTATTTAAAATTATGGAAGTCGCTACTTTCAGTGTAAAGCGATTACTTTTTCAAAAAAATCCAGCAACGAGTTACGTAACTTTTCCGGAAATAAAATTACAGTAGAGCGTCGTTTATCCGAATCAATTGGGGACTCGGGTTGTTCGGATAACTTATTTTTCGGATAACCAATTATCTACGAAAAAATATATTAATTTATCCCGTGTTGAAATTTTTCTCCGTTGCGTGTCGCTTCGCGTTGAATTTTCGCCGATGTTAAGCCTAACGTAAACTTTTTAAAATAGTAATTGTGGCTATTGTATCATTAAAAATCGTTTCTTTATTTTTTACAAACAAAATAAATATATTGAAAAATATAAAAACAAAAAAATTATACTTTAGAAGTTAATCTAGTATCAAAAACGTTCGATTCAGCACGACACACAGGCTTCAGAAAAACATCATACAAAAGTTCCAGTGCTGCCAGCTAGAACACACACACCAACAAAAAAAATATTGGAGTAGCCCAAGATATAGCCAAAGATTGCAGCTCCATAGCGCTAGCGAAAATTTAAATTTGCCGACTGGAATTCTTTCGGATAACTGACATTTCGGATAAACGACGTATACTGTATATTTAATTACCTCTACACATAATCAAAAGCCAAGAGTTAGATTTATAATAGGATTAATTCATACATAAACCATGTATCTCTGTTTAGGGGAAGAAAGTTTATGGAAAAAAACTGTTAGATATGTGGCTGTCACGTTTCGAAGTCTGGCGCCTGAAAGGCAGGAAGGATGTGGTGTATCATGACACTCTGTTTACTCTCGTTATCTATGACCCCTTTGAACACTTGTCACCCTTTTGTAATGTCTTATGTCTGTACCTCTTCGATGAATAAACACGTATAAAAGTTTTATCCATCTTCCCTTTTTATCCTTGCTGACTCAGTTTATCCAAGCTCACCAACAAATTCCCAACAAAGACAACGAAAGACCAACTAGGGGAGGATTGGTAAGATAAAAATTCACGTGATTATAATTTAATTTATATATTAATTTTTCTAAATTCATTATTTAATTAAATTATAATCACGTGAATTTTTATCTTACCAATCCTCCCCTAGTTGGTCTTTCGTTGTCTTTGTTGGGAATTTAATTAAATAAATTTGATTAATAATTTAATAATTTAATAAAAATGAATTTAGAAAAATTAATGTATATAGTAAAATATCTAAATCTTGAATTTAAAAGATTCAAAAACCGCCAGTTTGAAGTTATGAGAGTTTTATGTATTCGATAGGGGTATTCATAATGGGGATCACTTTTTTTTTCTTTTCTTTTAGAATAGGTACGTATGTATCACAAAAGAAATGAACAGTAAACACGCATTACGATGGAACGGTTTGCAATCATTGTTGTACAATTTCATCTTTGTTGGACCACTTAATAGGCTGGAATAATGTTTTTTTAGGAATTCTTTTCGACATCTTTCAAATCACAAAATTACTCTTGTTTCTGAATTGTTCGCCGATAGACGCTATAGACACTGCATGCAGAACTTAAATCCAAATTAAGAGATATTCATAATTCATAGCTTTTTTCGTCATATCGGATTCACGACTTTCTTAAAAATCACGAAAGCTCCAATTTTCTCGATGTTGATTTTGTTAGTATAGACTTCATGACAAAAACTAACGGCTTAACAGAATGCTTCCCTCAATATTCACCGATAGAAGGACCAGAATCGTTTGTGGTTTGAAACTGTTGGGTTGTATGGATGCATGAATTCGATTAGTAAGGCAACATGTGTCTGGATTAACTTTAATGGCATTTAAAGTAATAAATACAATTACATTTGAACCTAACATATAGGCCTACATAACAAGGGAAAGTAATGAAATCGTGTCAAATTTGACCCTCCAAGTTTTTTTCCAAATCTCTGCGTTTTGAGATCTGAATCCAAAAAAGTAAAAAAAAAAACGACAAAAAATTCCATGGATACATGTGTGTGTGTGTTGACGTCTATTTCGCTTAATATCTCATAGTGGGGTAAACATTAAGAAACGAAATTTGGCATGGTAGCTTGTATATGAGGGGCATTGATGGTATTAAATTTTGGTGGCTAAAGGTCTTGGGAGTGGGGAGATAGAGAAGGGTCGTGTGTCATAAGGGTCGAGAGTATAAGACTTAATGATTTTATTCGTTACTAACATTTATAGTTTTTCATAAAACCCATTCCCCTACGCTCAAATTTAAGCTTTTTGTCATTTTATAGTAATTAAAAATATAAAATTTTTTTTTTTTAAATCTGATAACAGATGGCGTCACATACAATTTTATTTATTTTGCTTAATAATGTAAAAGTTAATTTTTTTAAATAAAAACTCATAACAGCTAGGAAAGTTATGCAACTCGTTACGGGATTTTTTATTATTTGAGATTTATATGAAAACATGTTAACATAATTTCATTTTTCAAAATTTAGTCCTTAAATTTAAAATAATTTTTTATTTCTGAGAATTTTGAAATATAGATCATTATTATACAGCATTTTAAAACATTTTGAATTTATAAATGTATTTGAATTTTACGATTTTTCAAAATAAACTTTAAAAAGTTTGTTTTGTATTTATTTATTTTTTTAAATTCGTAGTTACTCATATTCATTAATTGACTCATGTTCATTAATTGACTCATGTTCATTAATTGACATATTTTCTTTTTGCGAGAGAGAAATTTCAAGTGATTGCTCTGATGGCGGTGGGGTTAATGGTTCGAAATTCTCTACTTTCAATAACAATTCATCCAAATAGTCAGTTGTATAATATCTGTTAAATATCAATTAATGCAATATTTGATAAACCACAAAAAAATGTAAATTATTCAACTTTATAAACCTGATCACATCCGGTGGGAAGCATAAGTTGATCGATTTAATAGCATTTCGAGCATTCGAACCGGATGGAAATTTCATTTCTTCTACTTTTTTAAAAGTGCCAGAAATGATAAATCGTCTTCGCAATTTACCATCTGTTCTTAGTATCTAATAAGAATGAAATGTATTCAAAAATATTGTTTTGAATATTTTAAATTATAAACTACGGAATTAATGAAATTAAATTTTCATTTATAAATTATTTAGTATTATATACACAAATGATATTTTTAATAGTTTTACTTGTTAGAAATATTATACAGTAGTTCAAACCTTTCAGGAAACTCTTTCAAGTACTCTTCTCTCAACTACAATAGATTAATAAATACTTATTCTCATTCTGAGCTACTGCAGATTTTTATTTTTACGAAAGCAAGAATTCGAAAACGTTAAGTTTGCTTCTTTCTAGAAATTAAATCAAAGGCGCTGTCTGTACGCAATTGCGGGTACAATACCAAATTTATCAATTTACCAAATCACTTATGATTGGCAAATGTGGTTTATCGGACCATCCGCAATACGATCGTGCGTGTGTTAATAAAAGGTACTTATTAATTATTCAAATATCTAAAATTTTTTGAATGAGCTCTTTTTGGGTATTTCTTGATCCTTCAATCAGATTGTATGTATGGCGCTATATTGGAGGTACTCGTAGTATTCGAATTCATTTTTTTTATCAACGTAATATTTGAGATCACGAATCTCGTATACCTTCTAGTATTTGAGTATTCGCAGATAATATTCGTCAATATCTAATTATCACAGCATATTTTAAGGTTATGAAAAATTAAATATTTTGATACTGAAAAATGTTTTCACTCAAGTTAGTTGTAAATATGAATACAGTAGAGTCTCGAAAACTCGGCACTCGATAACCCGGCAGTCCGTATAACTCGGCCACACCCTGGCAGGGCAAAAAAATCCTTAGTTAATTAATTTTCATTATAGACAGCTTTGTGCCTCATAAAGTATTTCTCTGAGGTCTGTCTTATCAGGTAAATTACTGTACACAGTGTATTCATTAATTTTCATTTTCATGTAGTAAAGGCTCTATGCCTTCATAAAGGACGTACTTTTCCTTTGTTTAATGATATTTGGGCAGTTTATTTTCTGTTATATTCTCAAGTAAATAATACATACAAGTACAGTACAGTATTTTCTGAGGAAACCTCATACTTATTTTTTTTAACCCCATTCCCGATAACCCGGCATTTTCACAAACTCGGCCACCCTTCGGTCCACATTAGGCCGAGTTTTCGAGACTCTACTGTATTATGATCTTAAAAATTAACGATACAATTTTTTCTTTTATAATATAATTTAAAGTTATTTAATTATAAATTGTGAGAAATTCGGTTTCGATCCGACCGGATTCTCGTAATTTTCCAAAATTAATTTGAGACTGAGTATCGTATTCCATTTCTACCTACTCCCACTGAATGGCAGCAGAGTGAGAAAATTGTATACTGTTATACTTTTTATAATAAGTTGGACTTTCCTCTAGAAACGGTAATAATAATACTTATAACTAAATGAAAAATATAGAAATAGACCTTAGCAAACTGTAATAACACTAATTCTAATATATCATCTTGTACGATATCCATAATTTTCTCTAAAGTTTGAAGATGCAAACAATACTTCAGCATTCTTTTCAATGATTTATTACACTAAAAAAAGTAAAAATTTTGAAAATAATCTGAAAATTTTTCATGTATATTAGAAATTAATTTCTTACTGTTGATTTTATTTCAGGATATAAGACTGGATTTGCAGCAAGAGAGGCAACCAAGAAAATTGCATCCGTTTTTGTTATTTCTCTAGTAAATTTTGCATTATAACTACCAAGATAACCAAGCGTTTTGACAACAATTTCTTTCAATTCTTCGAGTGGATCTGACTCTAATATCATGCATAATACTTCTACAGCCTATATACGTATACATACATACGTAAGTCATTATGAGAAGTTTAATATAAATTAACATTTGTCTAAAATACCTTCTCCATGATGATTAGGCCAGCCATATCTTCATTTTTTATTGCTAAATTGCACAGAAACATTACACCTGGAATTCTATATTCTTGTTCATGTTTCTTTATATATTCTATTATTTTGGATATGCCTCCTTCATCGATCACTTTCTGAGCCAACTTATATAGAAATTATACATGTTTAATACAGAAATGTTAAATTTTAAAATAAAAAAATAATTTTTAAATTGTATTTTACTTCTTCTGAATGTTTGACACATTCTAACAAATAGACACAGCAATTCTTACGACAGTTTATATCTTCTTTACTTAATTCTTTAATTGCAGTTTCAATGGAATGTGTTTCTGTAGCTAATTTCAACGCGAAATTATCTTCATAGCGACTTAATTGAGTTAAAATAGGCAATAGAATATTCTAAAAATAAAAAAATAAAATATTAGTTTTGGAATGAGAAAATTAATGGAGAAAGCAAACGAACCATTAATTTTGGATCGTCTTGTTCCATTAATTTTTCAAGAGCAGGAATAATTTCATTTCTTTCTAATATCAAAACTAACTGAAATGAATGTTTGCTGATTTCAAAAATAACTGAAGCTACTGCTCTTAGAACTGGCAAATCATAATCATGGATCGACTGTATTATCATTGGTATTAATTCATATTTTTCAGAAGCTATTTCAATAGCCAATTCTATAAAAAATGTAATATTTTAATAGTTTATTTTTGAAAACTTATTAACAGTGGAGCGTTATAGCTTCATAGGGCTCCAGTGTTGACCTCAGACATTTTTGTTCGAGGAAATTTTTTAAAGGAAATAGTCTTTTTTTATATAAGATTGGTTTGGGCACCAGACAATTGCCCTTTTTATCTATACGATAACACGCCACTGAATATTAACGATAATTTGTATAATGCAGTAGAAATTTGTTAATTCGAGACCTATGGAACCACAGTTATGCCGGATTACGAGACGTTTTTGTTTTAGTAAAATTCGATAAGTTATATGGGATCTTAACAATGCGGAGATTGCTATACATTTTATACCAGTGCACACTATATCATTCCGATTTCTTTAAGCATGCTCTTTAATCAGTCTGATAAAAATACAGTGAATTACCTCATTATATTAAGATTAGATTAATTTTATAAACCTGAAAAACCGCGGATTATTGCACATTGCAGAATTGTGGAAATTGCGTCCAATCGTGTTCATCATTTGTCCAAACAAATTCCGATTTGTGTAATACTAGCATGTCGGATTATTATCGTACAAGTTCAGATCACAGGCTACTTTTCAGAGGATGCCGGATTAACGAATTTCTACTGTATTTTAATTAGGACATACCTTCAGAATGCTTAGCAATATTGGCTAGAGTCAGAATGGCGGATTCCTTCACAAATGGATCAGGATCCTTAATACAGATTTGAAGAGCTTCTAAAGCATTCGTTTTAACTATTATTTTAGCTAGATTAACATCATGTTTTGATATTGATCGAAGAAGATAAGAAGCAGCACGTTTATATAGTTGTTCCGAATTCGGGATTTCAGTGATACGATTCTATAGAAAATATGATTTACGTTATAAATAAATTATAAATGAGCTTAAATATTTTAAAAATGTCTGTATGGTAAATATATATTTACGCTTTCTTTCTTAAGTTTCTCAACTAACAAAGGCAAAATATTTCTTCTAATAATTTCTTCAGCAATATCTATATTATAGGATGCTAATCTTCCCATTGCCACAATTGCTGTTCGTTGTATGGTAGGCATTATATCCATGAATAATGTACAAAGCAAGGGAATTGCTCCTAATGTAGATTAATTAAAATTAATATATTAATAGAAAGTTAATCTTAACACTGTACTACTTATTCTACCTGCAGCTTTTAGAGCAGCATAATCATTTGGGTTTGCTGCAAGATCAGATATTGATTGAGCAAACTTTAAGCGAGCCTTTTGATATTCTTCGAATACTACAAAATTAAAAAAAAAACAAATTATTAAACTGATTTAGAATGTCAATCAAATAATTTATATTTAAATATTACCAGGCAAAATCAACTGCTTTTTTTCTAACTCAGTTTCACCTTTCGTTATAGTCATTTTAAATTTATAGCAGCTAGTTTCTTAGCGCAATTTTTAATTGTTTATAAATAATATGGAATTATTCATTATTGATATGTTAGAGATTTCAATGTTTATTTTCAACTTATACATGTTACACTTTATTTATGTAAATGTACTTATTTATTATTTGTAATAAAAAATGAAGAGTCATCGCGTGCTAAGATAAAAGTAGCATTCTTTAATTATCCACCTAGTGGATCGGATATAATCTAATAATCTTAATCTTCTCTATTGTTACTTTTTGCCCGAGTAACGCCGGGCTCATCTGCTAGTTTAAATGCATTTTTGTAAAATTTATCGAAATTAGTGAAAATTTTAAATATTTTCTAAGAGAAAGAACAATACTAATTGCGAATCATCGATAAGATAATAAATAATATCGATAATTTAGAGCTAATACTAAAATTTTAAAAGTCTGATCAATATATAGTCTATATATATAGGCCTATATACTGTATATAAATAAAGTATTTGCATATTAAATCTGAATATATGTTTTAATTAAATGATATTCATGAAAATTTGAAAATAGACCTATATATTTCTTAATTTGTTTTGGGAAATTGTTTTAAAACGAAAACATTGTATTCCTAAAGATAATGAATTACTATTATTAATGAGCTGCGATTTGAAAAAGTTGTCGATCTATAAATTTTCACTATCGTCCGTCTATGTGCCAGTCCTTCCTTAATCTCGAGAACGCGGAGTGAATAAACTTTCCATATCCAGTCTCGATAGATGAAATTCGAGACCAGATATGGCAGTGTTTTTCAACCTGTGGGTCGCGACCTGCCGGGGGTCGCAAAGCCTTACACGGGGTTCGCGGGTAAAAGAAAAAGACAAGTGTTTGTAGGTCCTATACTACAATAAAAAAAAATTACAATCTCAGTGAGAAGGATGTGCCTGTTTATTTTACAGTACAATTGGCTTTTTGATCGATATTTAGGTCTCAAAAGAAAGAAACTTAATTAAATACGTAGTTTTTAAAATCACTGACATAGTTTTAATATGGCCCTGGGGGTCGCCAGAATTTTTTAACTTGTAAAGGGATCGCTTATTCAAGAAGGTTGAAAAACACTGAGATATGGAAAGCTTAGGGGTAGAAGGTCTCGATTAACTAAACATAAAATTCCAATACAAACGAAAAATCATGTTATTTTAATTTAAAAATTTTCTCTTGAAAGGAGTTAGATAGATGAACGGCACAACTATGTTGCTAACAGGAAAAAATGATGCACAGGGGCAAAACACTACTAATTTGAGATGGAGAGCATTCAAAAATTGCATTTCCGGCATTGTGACGATGTCAAAATAAATAATTTCATTTTAGAATAGGAGTTTTAGTCGAAACTGCACCAGACGTCCGTAAAAAGATAAATGAAAAAAAAAAAAAAAAAGAAGACGTTAAACAGTGATTAAGTTATCATGAGTAAGATACAAGTATGCATTGTGCAAGTGTNGACCGTAAAAAGATAAAAAAAAAAAAAAAAAAAAATAGAAGACGTTAAACAGTGATTAAGTTATCATGAGTAAGATACAAGTATGCATTGTGCAAGTGTATAACGTTCTAAGCTAATTTATTAAACGAATCGGTAAAATAAAGTTCTTGTTACGAGACAATTTTCATAGATGCAAAAGATCTTCGGAAGAATAAATAATTAAAACTTTTCATACAAAGCCGAAAATCACAAAGAGATTTTCTTATTTTAAAATTGTTTTCTGACATCGTTAACATAAAAAAATAGTGTAAAAATATTGATATAATTTATGTTTAATGTACTGTACATACATTAAACATAATATAAAAATAACATAACATAAAAATAAATAGCACAACACGGTAATGAGGTTGCAGAGATGGTTAATCTGGTATGTTGCGAATCCTTTTAACATTTCGGATATGCCTCCTTCATCGATCACTTTCTGAGCCAACTTATATAGAAATTATACATGTTTAATACAGAAATGTTAAATTTTAAAATAAAAAAATAATTTTTAAATTGTATTTTACTTCTTCTGAATGTTTGACACATTCTAACAAATAGACACAGCAATTCTTACGAGAGTTTATATCTTCTTTACTTAATTCTTTAATTGCAGTTTCAATNAGTCCACTATATATCCCTGCAAACTCTAATGACCCTTATAGGTATAAAATAGCAGCGTTTCGAGCATTGGTTAGGAGGGCCTTTATATACTGTGAAAGCGTTATAGACCGGGATGCAGAGTTAGAAAGAATTATGCAATTGGCAGGAACATTAGGTTACAAGAGGAATGTGATTAATGGAATTATTAGAAAATTAGAGGATAATAAAGATATAAAAACGGCACAAGGTCCTTCTAAGTACACGAAATTTACATACAACAAACATTTAGGAGGCGTTATGAAAGAAATCACAAACATGAAGGATTCAAAGATGGTCTTAAAAAGAGCCCCGAATTTGTACAAAATACTTAGAAATGATAAAGGGGTAGTTAGAAAAGAAGATAAGGCGGGAGTGTACAAGATTCCCTACGAGAACCAGCTTTTAGGAATTAAGAAAGAATATGTAGGGGTTACAACTAGGAACCTAGGTTTAAGGATCAAAGAACACAAATATGATATCAGAAAAGGTTCTAATGCGACAGTATTGGCCCAGATGGCGCAGGCAGAAGGTTCATTGGTACATTGGGATAAAGCCGAAATCCTGAAACAGATACACTCGCCGGCTTTGGCAAGAACAGCTGAAAGGATAGAAATCTATAGAAGCAAACTTGAAGAAAAATGTATTAACGCAAGGGATGCGGAGGGTCTTCCTTCCGCTTGGAAGTTTGCGGTTAAAAGCTTAAAAAAAGCGCATGAAATTTAGTATGAAATAAGAAGCTCTATATAGTTAGGCAGACGATATTATTATTTAGTAATGATATTATGTTATTTATTTTGAATATTTGTATTATTTACAAGTATTATTTATTTTTATGTTATCGGTTTATTTGTATTTTTGAATGTTTAAACGAGTAGTTCTATTTATGAAGTGTTCTATTTAACCTGAAGATGATCCAATGAAGGGATCGAAAACGTTTGTTTTAATTAAAAATAATCTCTCAGCGAAAAATAAGGTGTTGGATTACATATTTAATTGTACTGTACATACATTTACAAAAGATATTTGGATTAGAGTTTCCGCTTAACATATAATTATGTCTGAGCAAGTTTACTAGGATGATTTTTCCTTGTAAATTTGCTTGATATCCCAGGTTTTAGTAATTTATTTGGTTTCTTGAATTTACTCTCAGTTTGCTTATTCCATTCATGCAAACATTTAGAAGCGTGTCTGATTATTGAGTTAATTTCAATATATTGAAAAGACAAGGATGTCTAAAAACAGCAAGAATTGGCAGCAATTCCGGTCAACTGTTTTGTTTAATTCTAATGCAATTAAGAATCTTGTGAAATTTTATCATAAACTATAAATCTGGCAGTATAAATGAGCTGAAAACTTACAAAACGAGAGGATAGTTTGCAAAAGAGCTCTTAAATTAATATTTATAACTTACTAAGAAATGATAAAGACAAACTAAAGAAAGAAAAACAGCTTGGAGTATACAAAATACTTTATGAAAATTAACAGTTAGGGGTCCAAAAAAATTATGTTGGAGTCACAAAACAAAACCTCATGGTGCGACTCAAGGAACACAAATACAATGTAGAAAAATGCTACAGTAATACAATTTTGGCGGCAATGTCACAGGTGGAAGATTCTGTTATAAAGTTGGATGGAGCGAACATCATTAAAAAAATACTGTACATTCTCCAACCATCGCTATGGATATGTAAAAAATAGACATTTACAAGAGCAAGATCAAACAGCAGGTGATGCCTTTGCATCTCTCGCTTTCATGCGAGATATGCAAAGGCATCACCTTCAGCCTGGAAATACATCATTTAAAAAAGATTTAGACATAAAAATCTCTGAATTTTTATGTGTTCCCCTATAATCATATTTAGCTTGTGTGTTATACTCTCACAGTTTTTTGTATATATTTTCTTATTAGCATATTTATTTGTACTCGTATTTTGTTAACCTCGTATATATTTTAAGTTTATTTTTATTTATTATTTACCTCATATTTTTCATGTTATTTATTTCACTCGTTTCAATTTAAATTTGTATTTAGAATTCTTCAAGGGTTAAAATTTAAAGGGAATGTCCTATTTGTGGAACAGTTTCTAAAAACGGTTTTAAGAAACTGATGATGGCCTATAGGAGTAGGTTGAAAACGTTATTAATTAAAAATTTTCTTTCAGCAAATGCATAGGTATGGTCGTAAATTTGTAATTTATCTCGGCTGAGCACGTCCGAACTGTATTTGACAATAAAGTCGTGCCGGTCATCTATCTAACATCTTTCAAGTAAAAAGATTTGAATTGAAATAAGTGACTTCCAGTTTTCATAGGAAGTTCGTATATAGTTAGTTGGGATCTCCTGCCCTTAAAGTTTTCATATCTGGTTTGGAATTTTATATATCTAACACCGTTCTTTAGATTAAAGAAAGAAAGAAACAAACAAACATATGGACGGACAGAAGGATGACAGTAGCAATTTACATGCCTACATTTTTTTCAAATTGCAGCTCAATATCTTTATATTTTGTATATTAATGCTTCTACATACAGATGAGTGGAAAAATCAAACGTAATAGCTGATTTCCGTTTTATTTTTATTATATAATTTTATTTTCCAATATAGAGTTATCAAACGTTTATATAAATTAAACATTATTTTATTTTGGGTCATATTTTATTAATAACATTATTTTATTAAATCTTATATTTTGCAATAAATTGTATTTTAATTAAAACTAATAAGTTAAGCAAATATATCTGTGGGTAATATGAACACCTTAAGGGTAACGTCGGTTTTCTCCAAAATTAAATGAATGTAACAGACTCCTTTGGCATAGTCAACTTTTCCATAGACTTATCTTCATACTGAAAAACACTTGGTTACCATACTACATTTCTGTACTGCAGCAATTTTTTAAAAGGATTGCATTTGCTCGTATTACTTTTTTTAATTCAAAACTGCGAACGTAAAAACAATAGAAATACAACTGAACTGAAGTTATTATATCGCCTATATCATAAGATTTGTCTAACGAATAGTTATTATATGCAATACTTACAATTTGTAAAGTTTTTATGCATTTTTAGCAAACATAATGTATTTGGGTTGGAAAAACATCCGCGCACTTTTCGTGTGCTCATTTAGCTCGTTTTTCACATCTTATCCACTTTCCTGCTTATCTTGAAAATAATTCATTGCAGTAGCCTATAAACATTTATTTTCAATGCTAAAGAGTGACATGAGCATTCTGATATTGCCCCCCACACATTTCCAGATTGTTCTGTCAACTATCATAGATAAATAATATAATTATCAAACCATACTTTTACGTATCTCGATAGATTCCTACAGATCACCGCAGGAAAGCTTTTTCTTCCGATAAATGTATGAGACCACATTGTTAAAAATGACACAGTAGAAGAGGCCTGGTAGCTATCTAGGTGCCTGCAAAATTTAAACATATCAATACCCGGGTACACATTTGCTCTTCCCAACTACAGCATTATTTACAAAAAATGAGGAGTTTACATTTATAATCTCCCTCATCTCATCTCATTAAACATTATCAGGATGTTTAAGGGCTCATCTCATTAAACATTGTCAGGATGTTTAAGGGCTCATCTCATTAAACATTGTCAGAAGTTTTAGAAAACGAGATCTTAATCTCACGATTAAACTTCGTATAACCTTACGCAGAGTTCTCTACGACTGAGATGTATTATCCACGCTAGACAATTAGAAGTTTTAGTACCGCTGCGACAACCGAATAGAGATACAAATCATTTTTACAGTGGCTCCACGACAAAAAAATAATAAATTCGACTAACTAAACACCAGAACGCTATCTGCAACAACAAGTGTTCTAAAGAGCTTTTTAGGAATGTGATGGAACGAATTTGTGTACCTAGTGTACTGTACATTGAACGAGACTCCGCTTCTTGTATAGTGTATTGACAGAAAAATTGCTTTCATCCAGGAAATTTTATTTATTGAAAAATTAGGATTTTGTAATAAATCCACGTTGAAAGTTCCAAGAATTTGAGTATCACTCTTCAACACGTCGCCATGATGTTATTTGTTCACCGTAATTCTAAGTTCCTTAACATCAATAAATAAATATTTATTTTGTTATATTTGTATCGTCTTGTAAAGTATATTCTCGTTTCCTTCAATACATCTGTTGCTGTTTGTTTTTAGTACTAATATCTTACCGTATTCTAATGTTCTATGTTCCAAAACTACGCTCTCTTTTTTATCTATTTATAAAATGTTGAAAATGCTTGCCGATAGACAAGCATTGGATGTATTTGTAGATGTATTTGTATATTTTTTTCAAATAATTTAAAACTGAATAATAAAATAATTATTTTATTGACCGCGATTACAGATACTCTTTGACTTACGATATTTTTCACATACGATGGCCAATGCGAGTAAAGCGAAAGCTCGGAAATTGTAATCTTAATTCAAGAAGAGACTGTACTTTAAAGTTTTTACATTACTTAAAAGAGTCACATTGCTTTCATATTTAAATTGTATATCTTAATTTATTAATTAATTAAAAATTTATATTATATCGCTTTCGAATAACAACAGTATCGTCTGTGTCTACTTTCTTTGAATTAAAAATAGGCCTATATTTAAATTGTTTATTAAAATAATTTAACAAGTTATTTTATTAAAAATTTACAGTTAATATTTAAAATAATTAGTTTTGTTTTATCACCATGTATTAATAATAATAATAATAATAACTCTCCCGGTCCAAA